TTACTAGGAAAGGTGAAGAAATCCTTATGAATTGACGAGTGAATTGCACTCCTTTGATTTCGCGTTTCTGAGAAAAATAATTATGAAAAAAAAAGTTCTTACTTGTTAGTGCTTCCCGAGATTGATTTTAAAGCCATGGAAATCCCTGATCCATGAATAGGTGACTGTTCCACATCTGACACAGACCCATTCTTGACCTTTTTATTTTTTGTAAACGCACGAGTAAACGAACTTCGGATCTAAAAGTCCAAGTTTTGAGACGGAAGTTAATCAAAATATACCATATTGCAATGCAGTAGATTTCAAGCACACAAGAACCAACATTAAACGCACTACAACAAATTTCATGCAAAGAGTGAAACTATAACGCAAACCTGGAAATCCACATTAGTTCCCTGCATTAAAATGTAAAATTATAATAACATATTTGGAAAACTACCGAGGAGGTAACCTTTACAGAAAATATACAAAAATTATACCCAGCTCTTTTTCCCCTGTTTCCCAAAACTATTCAAGCTGGTTTTATCGGTTTTGCTGCCCTTGCTAGACGAGCTCATTGACGAACGATGGCTGTTCACACTTTCTAGTGACGGCTGTTTCAACAACTCTCCAGCTCCATCATGCTAAAAGAACAATCTACAATAGTAACGAATAAATGAGCTGTTTACCTAAAGTAAGAATAACAAATGCCAATAACTAACTGCTTGAGTAAGGGATGCTTTCAATTGGCTGTTGGTAACCGTATTCGGTGGTACACGAACACCAGAGTTGAAGCTCATTACGCGTAAACTGTCAATTTCAGCGCGCAGTTTAGTCACCTCTTCCTTCTAAACGAATAATTAAAAGTTGCAGAACCAAACAAAAAGCTTAAAATTCAAAACGCAAGAAAAAAGTTTTTAAAACTTACTTTCAACTGTGATTTGCCATTTAAACCCTCCAAATGCTTTGCCATCAAATTAAGTTTATTTTCAAAGACTTGAATTAGTTGATTATAACCATCGTGTTTAGCAGTAAGTTTAGTTATTGTAGCACGATAGGACTCCACTTCTTTATTCAATTTCCGTATTTCAGCTTCATACCTCTCTTCTACCTAAAAAAACCCGCTATCAGTAAATAAATGAAAGCAAAAAACTATCTGGACAGACAAACTCAAATCACTAAAAAATCAATTTATCACAAAGGTAACATACGGTAGAACAAGTGCACCCCGACGACGATGCAAGAGAGAGGTGAGAGCCAGTTGCCTCGGCTGAACTACTGGGAGAAGTTTTAGAAGCAGACGATAAGTAACCAGATTCGGCATAACGTGATGATTTCATTTGAAGAGTTCTGGAAAAAAGATTTAAGTAATAAAAGATGCTGAAGACAGATAGTAGAGGTCATTCACAAGCGAACCATACCAGCAACGTTGTAAAAATAATAATAAAATACGTACCGAACTGTTGAATCATCTGAAAGTTTGTGTAATTGCAAGCTCTGGTCACGGTGGGAAAAACTGGCATATATATTTTCTACAGGTGTTTTTCGAACAGAAGCTGAAGTGCCTGAAGTAAAAGAAACAGAAAAAATTTAATAATAACAGATAAGATCCAAAAAACACTTATATGGTTTGTACACTGTAAAACGACCGGCACGCCAATAAAGTCAGAATAAATAGTGAGAGGGATTGTGTTACCAATTAGAAAAAGCAAAAACAGGGAAAAAAACACTGCAAGGTGTACAATCGAAAACACATGCACTTCAGCAGATCTCCTACGTTTAACGAACGACTATTCATTTTGTACCAGTTTTTTGATTCTTTGTTGTATCGATTGATGTAGACGGTTGAGCAGCAATTGTAAGTGGAATTCTTCTTGGAACAAGCTTTGAAGCACTCTGCAATTTACCAAAATTGGAAAGAACTGCGTCGTCTGGAGCAGCCGGCTGCGACAAGTTCTGGCAAACCTCGCTGGCTGCTGTGTTTCCAAGAACTACCGAGCGTGACATTCCGGAGGATGAAAGCAAAACAGTGCGTTGAGCTGAAGAAGCAAACTAATAAACTGAGGCAAAAGCATCTATTAGAAGATTATATAAGCAACTAAAAACTTCTAATTCTGACAAAAGAACAACTAATCGCAAGCCGTATAAAGAAAAAACTAGTTAAAAACTTGGTAACTTGAGACAAAGTTAGACTAAAACTCTACACAGCCTTCAGTTTTAGAAAACTACAGTCTTCCCCATGCAGGAGCGTCAAAAACATGCAATAAATTTGAGAAAAAACAAGACATCACAACGAAAAAAAAAAGGAATAAATAAGTCAGCGAAAAGTCAAATGAAACACCCCCAAAAATAGAATTGGTTCAAGTGATATAATCACATAGGAACTTTTATATTAAATTCAAAAAGCTCTGAAATTTTCAAAAAGATGTAGCTAGTTTGAATTAAAAGACTAAAGGATTAAATTCTTCAAATGTCCTCATAAGATGTTTCAAAACCGTCCTTTGAAAGCTTTGCAGTTCGGTGCAAAATTAAGCGATGTGAGATTCTGAATCGCTTTCATTTCAAAGTCAAGATGCATAAAACATCACTAAAAAACTTCAAATACCTGCTACACTGTGCCTATTTTCTGTAGATGGATGAACAAGCGATAGTTGCTGACGACTGGGGATTCTTCTGGGGCTAACCATAGCCAAGGTCGCGGCAGTTGCATCATCATCAAAAGCATTTAACCTAAAAAAAAGCCAAAAAATCATAATCCTTTATTATTACTAAAACCTCTCACCAAATATCTAGCTTGATGAATTAAAAAAGGTGTTGCATTTAAATATTTTTTAATGATAAACTTTATGTCCTAAATCTTAAAAATAAGAACTGCTTGATAAGAACACTATAAAAACCAGCCTGTATGAAGTTTCATCACCACTACGGTAACAACCTAATAAGTGAGCTTTCCTATCCAGAGAATGATAACCAGCCATCGCCGCTAGGCCTAAAATACAACGGTTAAGAATTTAAGAAAAGCAGATTTCTAAAACTGTATAAAAGTTTAACACAAAGATAATTTTCTTGAGCAAAATTTGACCTGGTCCTGCTTGGACCTGATGATCCTGTTTGGAAGAAACACGATGAGATGACCGTGCTGGGCCACCCCTGACACAAAGAGTATCGCCATCCTCGCTAAGTGCTATATGAGGAATCTGATGGCGTGAAGCATCTACAGTTCGAAATACGCGATCCTGCCCATCATCAACGTAACGAACCTGCTGAAACATGATTTTGTGAAACATTAAAAACAATACCTAAACCATTTTAAAGCCACTAAGGTAGTGTGAGAACTACCTCGAATGCATGAAATGCACAAGTTCGCGTTGCTAGAGATAAGGAATCCTAATCGGTGCAAAAGTTAGAAAGCAATTAAATTTATGGAAAATGATTAATCAGTACCAGTGAAACAGTCTCGTGATCCAAAAAAGATGTCATCTAAGAAAAAAAAACGGACCACCAGGTATTAAAATGTAAGCAGACCAATTCCAACGCTCAAAAAAATGAAACAATGACGCGAAACTACTGTTGCCTTGAATTTTTGAGAACAAGTCTAAAAATTCTTGAAATGCTCTCTTATAATACCATATCTTATGCAGAAAAACAATATAATTCAAGAGCGTATAAGAAAAAAACTTTAGTGTCGCACCAATTAAAGTCTGAAAGAAATTCCTGCCAAAAAAGTCACGCTCTTGTACTTTGAAATTCCCCATCAAGAAAATGACGACAATGATATTCCTCCAAGATACCATGAAAAATATTATTAAATTTCCAGACACTTTGAAAAGACTACCTGAATATTGCACGCAAGACCCCTCTGACTAGTCCTACACTTCTGTAGCAGTTGATCAATATTTTCTTGCTCATGAAGACGGCGCTGGTGAAGATGTAAGGCACTACTCCCCTGATTAGCACTTAAGCTTCTTTTTGGCGGCAACTGGCGACCGATATAACGCTGGTAATCGTCTAGCTTTCCATACGCGGCAGCCGCAGTCATTGGATGATCCGACAACGAACTAAAAAGGTAATTCCCCTTCTTTTGACAGAAATCAAAAACCCATTGATGGTCAACGTTTCAGATAATTAAAAATAAAAGCTAAAATATTTTTTAGAAGATTGTAAGTAACTAAGAACGTATAACTCTGACTGCTTTAAAACGTCAACAGACACTCAAGAGATAAACCTGCTAAATAGCAAACTGTTTTTAAAATTGAAATAGGCAAAATCAACCTTGCTGTTAGATCGTCCGTCGAAATATCGTCAAAATTTTCGGATATTCCACTCGATAATGACGAACTGTCTTCGAAACTAAAACGGACACAAATCAAAGATGAATGTTGTTGGTACTAAACGAAAACTCTCAAACTTGCTCCAAAAACAACAAAAGAGTCTAGCTGCTTCTAAGGATGAACATACTTGAATAAGTTACAATTAACTTTTACATCAGTTTCCAATAAATATTTAAAAGTTTAGAGATATTTTCACATAGGGAAGGGTACGAAGATGCAAGTGAAGACCAGTTTGAAGCAAAAATATTAGTCAGCAACCAATAAATGAGCAACGGACAGTCGGAACTGTGTCACTTAAAAGTCTAGAATTTGAAGGGAAAAGTGAAACAAAAAAAAAAATCACAGATGGTTATCAAACAGAAACAAACGCATGCGAGATACGTGCAATGATTAGTAGTAAAGTTTTCCCAGAATAACGCATTACTTCAGAATAAGTCAAATAGTTTCAAAATAAAACAGGGAAATGAATAGAGTAAATAACTGAATACAGCAACCACTAGAAAAACACACTACGCAACGTCTGTTAAAATCATCAAAGCAACAAAAAGTCTGCAATTAAATGCCGGATTTGTTTATCTCCATTCGCTTATGAAATCCATGTCAGTTTCCCAGACCTATCCGTCCAGTTTTCTAGGCTTATTTTAGTTTCACTTAACTAACCACGTCAGTGAACGATCTCACAAAAGTTCAAAAGCCTATTTCTGCGTCAAATCGAGGCTTCTAAAAATTTTATTAAAGCACAAGGCAAGATTTAAGACTTGAATCCGACTGAGGGTGTTGTTTTGATTTTTTAGGTGCAAATCAAAAATTTGCTGTAGAAAAAATGTTTCGAAGGTGCTGAAAGATTATAATGCAACAAAAAAGCTTCAAAAATGCAATGAAAGCTTAGAAGTGTACCAATTTTTGAAGTACTCCTGCGATATGCGACTAACAAAAACTGGGAAAACAATCGAATACAGCGATTCTAGAAAAGAGAAAAAAAAATTAAAACCAAATGGCCTAATATGTGCAACTGGATTTTTCAGTTGCTGCAACCAAATAACGACTGTTATTAAAAACATAATATATTATTCAAAGTCAAAAGCGTTCTTTGTTTTCCACTACTAAGCAAGCCAACAGAAGTAGCTATTAATAAAACAAATACTTTGTACTACCATTTTACTACTTCTGGCCATTAAAGAACTCACCCACATTCTTAACTGAACAAATGTGAATCCTAGCCACTATATATGTCTAAAAAGCACCAATTTTAACTTATCTTAATTTCAAAACCAAATAAATTTCCTTCACAGAAACATGCATGATTATAAAATTTCGGAGTAAAAATCTGTTCGCCGGATGAGTGCTCCCCATTAAAATTTGAAGATTTCTAAAATAATAGCAAAAACGGTTCTCTAAGCATTTTTCATAAGTAGCGAAGAAAAATCACTCAAAGTTTTCGTAATTTCAAACTCGTATAATTGTAAAAAAACCCTTAAAAACAGTTCAAAAATGCACCAACTTCCTTCCAAAGAATAACAACTTGAATTTTAATCTACTTCACTATTCAACAAATAATCTGTTAAACGCCATAAAAGAAACATATTAAAACTGGATACAGAAATGTACTGCTTAGACATTATGTTGTGATGAAACAATGACCGTAAGAGATGTGTTACGAGCAGCTAGTCTGTTTGAAGTTGACTTTGGTACTTTCTGAACTTTTCACTTTCTCTTGAACAATTCACTTAAGATTATAATTTTGAATGAATCAGTAAATGAAAAACTAAAAAAAACTTTTCTGAACCAAACGAACCGCAACAATTTTTAAGACGTAACTAAAGAATTTAAACACAACTTAAGGGTTTTTGTAACAACACTTTCTCCTAAAACGAATTAAAAATCTCAACCGAAAGACAACCTGAAACTAACAAATAGTAAATTACAGAGACAGTTAGCTGTAGGCCAGAAGCCGGATAGGTGGATAATAATTAAACACAAAGACACATTGCCAAAAAAAGGCGGCAGAACCTTATAGAAGCTGAAAAAATTGATGAAACTAATGAAATCAAGAGCATAATCTGGTCTACCGTTAACCACAACTGTTACGTTCAAACTTCGTCAAACCTTTACTCCACTAACAATTAACTTATCAAATAACCATCAACCAACCAAGTGCCTACCAGAAAAAAAGAAAGACCTGAAGCCACTGATTACTTGCACATGAATCCCATTATAAGTATACAAAATGCAAGAGGTAACGCGAATCACAAAAGCAAAAATCAAGAATTAAAAAAATTCCATAAGTCATCTGATGCTAGATGCGAATCTCTTTCAACCAAAGCTTGAGTATAGACCTCTTTGAACAACTCTGAAACTGCAACAAGCTGCACAATCCAAATGAAGCAATAGTTTAAAACGAGAAAGTAGAAATCTAGAAATAACTTACATTTAAATCATATAAATGCAACCCCGCTTACTTAAATTTGTTACTCAAAAAAAATGCTGATTAACAAGGAACTAAAAATAATAAAGAATGAAAAATGACTTGCAACACTCCAATAAAATTTACTAGACCTTAATAATTCACTGCAGAAGAACAAATTGTTGAAACAATGCAGCTGAACAGCAGGTGACATTTACTTCACGCAGAGTGACAACAATAATAAACAATCAACACTCAAAACTTATTACCTGCAACAAACACATTTCTATCAGTCAATATTCATGCACAGAAACTGAGTAAACATCAAAAAAGACTTAAGATTCAAGCAAATAGAAATATTTACCGAAAGAGAAATAACTTTTAGAAGTTACTTCGTTTAAACAGCATTCTTCCTAGTAAAATACAGTGAGAAGCGTAGAAAGCAAATCAAATTAAGAGAGATATATTTATATTGCCTTTACAGCTTGCGGAATACTTTTTTAAAAAGAACCGCGGTTTTGACGTTTCCCAGCTGGACTGCCAACAATAATTCATGACGCATTGTTTGTTTGCATGACAGAAGAAAAAACGGTTATGTGAACTTTTACAGAGCCCCAGCAAACACACAGCTGCTTTTCCATTATATAAAATTTTTATTTTCGAACTACTCAGCAAAAACGTCCAAAATTGAAAGTCTACATAATATTAATAAAATAAAGACTGGATAAACAACTGTCAAGTGAATAAAACAATAAAAATTTACTATTCTTATTTTGCTCCATAGTCCGCATCCCTACTTATTTAGCAGATCTGTACATTATTGCATTTAATGAGGAAATATAACAAATTAGTTTAAAACAGATTTACCACGTCTAACCTGTTTAAGCGAACACGTGATGGAAATATGAGTAAATTTCTAACCCTGGAAAAGCACCATCCAAACAGTTTGCGAAACGCAATGAAGAAGAGAGACGCAGCGCTTGAGCCACTGCAATGACTCATTCGCAGATTTTATCATCAGAATAATAGTTAAGAAGAAATATATGCAAATTTTTAGAAGAATTTTCTAATTCATTTGCTTCACTTAATCCCCAAGCATTATAACAGATGCGTTAACATAATGCATGTTCCATACACAAGTTTAATACAGGACATTATTGCTCGAAGCTTTTGCATAGACAACAAAAATCCTAGAAAGTGCTTCAGAATGTCATTCAAAACCCTTTTCAACCTCGCCTTTTGATTATATTATTCCCTCAATACTTCTCTACTTCCTTTCTGTGCTCTTAACTTACAATTAAAATAATCAGTATAAAGAATGATTTTAAAAAACTGCTATCTTCTAAAATATAAACTTTGTAAACTGTTGAAATACAACGCAGAAGAGAAATATGAAAAGTAAAAAATTAATCAATGGTAAATAAATTTAATTCTTAAGCTCAATATAAAAACAGGGATGTAAAAGGCACTTTTCTGTAAAATTACAAGAAATAACTACTGAAACACATTCTGCTAAATTATTCTGTTAACCTTTTTTTCTCCCAAAAAAGAATAAAATTATTTTTGGTTTTGACGCCTTATGCTTAAGGCATAACTGCTTCCAACATTAGCTGCGATTGTAACAACATAAATTCAAAATAGGTTCGACATCTTAAATGGAATATTCTGAAGATGCTTCTCAGAAATTGAAGTAAATCAAAAATAAATATCGCATTTCATATTGAGATTAAAGATAAAAAACTATCGATTTCTTGAAGATCTTTATCATGTTTTAAAAAGAAGCAGTCTGATGATTAGCAGACCCCGAAACCTAAAATATTTTTCAAACTGAAATATCAAGAGATCCTGAAACCCGCTCAAGAAATGTATGTTTTAAAGTGTTACAACAAAATATTATAGAAGAAGCACTCGCCTTCGTCCAGTTTGAAAACATCATTTTTTTTCAAATTATATATATATATATATTTACATGTTCATATTTATATAAACGTAGTCCTTTCGTAAATATCGAAAACATTTTACCTTTCAATTTGTTACTCAATTACTTTGTAATCAAAGGTTTTTGCCACTGCGCAATTCACAGTTCAGAAAAGTTTTGCTACGTGCCAGTCGCACAAAGGCAAAATAAAAAAAAAAAAAAAAAAAAAAA